GGTTATTTTCTGAAGAAACATATAGCCTTTTGAAATACAGCGAATGGCTTGTAGTTTAATCATTATTAAATTTCATAGCTAGCACCGTCATATTAAACGTAAAGGGAGATAGCAACTAAACTATAGTGCATATATGTAAAAGACCCCTTTTGCCGATTTAGTTAAGAGTGGGCTCTTTGGGGCAGCTGCAGGGGCAATATTTGTTAGGGACCGAACAAATTTTTCTTTGGCAGTGACACTCAAAATTGTAGACGTTTAAGTTATATACATGTATGTCTACATTGGCTAGAGGTGAAGGTGGAAGGTTGAGCGCTCATAAAACCTGTTTAACCCCGCCGAATTTTTTGCGTTTTCCCTAAGTCAGGAACCTCTTGCCTTTGTTGGTCTTGTATATTTTTTAATTTTGGTTCATCTATATGTTTCGGAGCATAGAATGGCGTCCATTTTCTCGATCTAGTTTACATTGTGTTTCGGGGCCTGTTCGGGGCTGTCTCTGGGTGTGGGATTTCTCGCTGTGTTGAAGACCCATTGGTGGCCTTGGGTTGACTTGTATATTTTGGTTGGGTTGTTGTCTCTTTGACACATTCCCCGTTTCTATTCTTTATTCTATACATGTAGCTGTCAAAGATACTTTTGTAAAAGAGACAAAAGACGCAGTTTTGGAATATGTAACTTCTTTCTAAAAAACATTTTAATCATACCCAAATCAATCAAGTTCTTTAGGAATAACATGCTGACAAATATAAATCTTTTAACTTTTTTTTTGACACGGAACTCATTGTGCAGTAGGTGGGAAACTGATTAAATAGAGTTTGAATTGTCTGTATAAAACGTCAAAACATTTTACATCAATATGAAAAAAGTGCAGTTTTAAAGAGTTGTTAGTTATTTGAAAAATACAACTTGATGCCATACTTACCCGGGTTTAACTTTTTTCGGGTGATCTCGTGACAGGCATGATATTAAAATGAAAAGGAAGCACATTTTTATTTAGAAAAATGTACAATATCCAGCTGATATCTGAAACTATAACATTTGTATCAAGGCTGCATGCAGGTAAAAAAGGTAAACTTGTGACAGACAAGGCTTCCGTGCTCATACCGTAAAAACACACGCACTAACATTCCTTAAAACTGTTCCTTTATTTTTTGTAACAGCGGTATAGCTTATTGTAAAATAAAGACTTTCCAAATTAAAAAAAAAATCCATATTATGATCTCCTATGCCAGGAATTTACCATAATGCCATAGAAAGACATATATAGCATGCTTATTTTTGCGTTGTAGTATTCAGATATACATACATTGAACAACTCGATTATTAACTATTTGGTATATATATACACTCTCTGCTTGGGGTTGAATCACAAAGTTAACAAAGTTCAAAATTATTTAATTTATCACATAAAGCACATAGCATATCACATTTCTGACTAACTCATGAGATATTTTCCTAAGTTAAATGTACAATTGTGCCTATATACCCTAAATCTTTGCGAAAGACGAAGAGTTAGCACTTGGTATGCTAATGAATATCCTTTAATCAAGCGTCACTGATGAGTCTTGTATAGACGAAACGCGCGTCTGGCGTAGAAAATATTATAAGCCTGGTACATTTGATAAGTATTTACTTTAGGCCTAACGCAGTGCATGCTATATTCTGTGAGATGTCGATAATTTGCAAGTATATTTAATTTGTCTACATGATTTATTTTCTTATGCTTGATTTGTTCAGTATGGTATACATTTTGTCTTATATCTACAGTATATCCTGTTTTATTTTAGAAAATGAACAATGTCGCTCTCATGAAAGAAATTTAAGCGTGCGTGACTTTGCAACATATAGACTCTTATAAATATGTATCACATAACTCTTTCAAATCCTGTAATCTAAATACCGGGACACTTCCTCATGTAGCGTATAACTAAGTTCGGGTACATATATGCTTTGTTTATTAAAAACGAAGTAAACCTGAAAATTCTATTTCAAAAATCAGACGACCCGGCCGTTTATATATACGACCGTTTATATATATATAATTCTTAAGAAATTAGAGAAACATAATATTATTGTAACTCGCAACTCGACCTTCGTAACTCGCAATTCGACCTTCGTAATTCGCAACTCGAATTTCTTAACACGTAACTCGACTTTTGCAACTCACAACTCGGCCTTTTCAACTCGCAACTTGCAACTCGACGATAAGAAACCCTCAGGGAAATGACCCTGCCATTTTCCTCGAAACCACTTGTCCAAATTGTATATACTTGCTTAAGAAATATCGATGCAATATAAACTGCAATTTTGAACACATAATTATTTCATCATGTTTAGTTTTTGATTTCTCTGAAATACAAAAACAAGTTTACCAAGTGTATGCTGCCATATGTTCATCTCGAGTTTGGGGTCGACACATGATTCTATTTTGATAAATATATATATATATATATATATATATATATGCATTTAATTGGTCAATTCAAATGTGCGTCAACAACCAAAGCACCTGTTCTATGTACGAAAATATGATTAATATTTTAAGGTAGTTAAAGATAAATAAGATTGGATTGGCCAATAATTTTAAATTCGCTATAGTTAGAAAGGAAAAAAACAAGGGTATTACTAAAAAAATCAGTGAATTTGACGATATTGTCAGGGTTGATTAAAATGACGATTTCTGGATAAAGTGAGGCTAGAATCTTTATTTTACATGTTTCCAACTTTATATCGCACAAGTACACTGCAGCTTTTACTTGCCCGTGATCTACTTTAAATTATCTAGGGTAATCAAACGTCAATATCAAACACTGGTCCTTGTGTTTGTTGTTTTTTATTTGTGTCTATCTGATGAGCCGAGCCTTTTTTAACTGATTTTAAAATTTCGTTTGATGTTGTGCTGTTATTACTGTCACAGGCTAGAGGAAATTCCAGAGTCCGCTATTATGTTTATCATCGGCACGGAACATTTTTATGTGCCAGTCCCAAGTAGAAGCCTTTAAGGTGTTGTCGTTGGTCGCTGCATGTCTGTCATAATTGTTTTTGTAAATTATTTTGATCATACTCAAACATTTGGATTTTTCGTTTGAATTGTTATACATTTTGACATTTTGGAGCCTGTTATAGTTTACCAAACGGTTTGGGTTTTGCTCATTATTGAGTACAGTGCTTTATGATTGCTTACATCTACGTCATTTGGTAATTAGTGAATAGTTTGTTAATCATACAAAATCTTAGTAATTGTATAAAAACTGCGAGAATCGCATGTACGGCGAAAGGAGCGAGACAAGATGCGTGGACAGGGTAAGTGTCTTCTGCTATGCATGCAACAACAGCCATACAAAACCACACTCACAATCGGGAATAGGAAAGGACAGGTAAAAATCACAGATCAGGCAACATTCGGTTATTCAAAAATCTGACACCAGGACAACATGTCGCCTTTTAGTTTAATTGTTTTACATCATGTCTTGTGATTAATGATAGCCTAAAACACGGTGTCCATGTCATATGGTCTCTGTTAAATAGTTGTCTAATTGACAATCATATCACCACTTCTTTTTTAATTAATTTTTATTAACACGTGGTTTTTATACTTGCTTTTTTGTATTTATATATTTCAGTATGTCGTTTTTCTTTTCTTTTTTCTGTTGAAAGAGTACGACCATATTTTATCCTTTTAATCAAACGTAGTAATATCAAATCAACAATTATTTGCAATTTAAAAGATGCAACTGAAGGTAAGCTGGACAAAAAAAAAACAAAAAAAAAAAACTAGCAAACTTTAGCAAAACAATAATCAAAAATATATTTTCAGCGTAAGAGTGCAAACTTATGAAGACATTTCGACATCATTACTGTTATTATTCACTACAGCTTGTTGATTTGCATTTGCAGATATTTTTACATATCTTTTCATTAGATAAAAATCAGGAGATGTGGTATGATTGCCAATGAGACAACTATCCAATGGCGCCAAACCCCTCCCCCCTGACCTGGGACTGTGGTGTAACAGTACAAAATAAAAACCAACTTTAAAATTTAGTTGAAAAGGTCTGTTCGGTGTGAGCCAAGGCTCCGTGTGGAAGGCCGTATTTTGACATATAATTGTTAACTTTTTATACATTGTGACTTGGATGGAGAGTTGTCTCATTGGCACTCATACCACATCTTCTTATTTATATTAACTCATCAGATCGATACAAAGCAGAAAACATATAACAAAAACACAGACCGGACTGGGCAGCATATCTATACATCCAACAACAAAAAAGACACAAGTAACGCAAAAACATGGCAAAAATCGTCTTTAATGGGCAATAACTCCAAAAAGGAATCGTCGGTCGATTTCTTCCATACCGTTTTAAGTTGAGATCTTGTCTTGCTGATCATTTTTGCTTATTCAAATTTCTATCTATCTATTATAATTTTTAAGATATAAGGCAAAATGGCAAAAAAATTGGTAATAATCCTCAAAGGCCAATAACTCTTATAAGGAATCGAGTGATGATTTCGACCATAAGCCTTAATTGTAGAACTTGTCTTGCTGTTCATTTTTGTATTTAAAGATTCCTTCTATTTATTATAGTTTTCAAGATAATAGTCAAAAAATGAAAAATAGAAAAATGGTAAAATTTGTCTTTAACATGTTTAAGGGCAATAACTCCTATAGGAAGTCGTCTGACAGTTTTGACGTATATAGACAATTGGTAGAGCTCAACATTCTGAACATTTCTGCCCTGTCAGATTTTCTCTATTTATAACGTTTTTCAAAATAATAGACAAAACTTGCATTTCACCCCTATGTTCTATTTTTAGCCATGTCGGCCATCTCGGTTGGCAGCCGGGTCATCGGACACATTTTGTAACTAGATATTTGGCCCAGTAGTTTCAAAAGAGAATATTTTTGTAAAAGTTAACAGACGACGACGACGGACGACAGACGCCAAGTGATGAGAAATGCTCACTTGGCCCTTCAGGCCAGGTGAGCTAAAAATTACGACTAAGATGTTTACTTTTATTAGTGATATTATAATTCGTGGAATTTGAGGGTCGATAATTATCATCCCTTAATGAACGTTGCCAATCAATGCATATACAAAAACTACCCAATCCCCCTAAAAGATCCACGAATCGTCGGTGCCTTACTTGGATGGAAAATATTTAGGCTGTTTGAAAATATCATTTTTTTCTAAACTTTTTATGAAAGTAAACTTTTTAAAGCAATATCTAACAATTAAAGTTGAATACATATCAAACAGGATGTACATTTTAAATGTCAATCGCTTATTAATTAAAACATGACGAAAAATTATTAAATCATAAAATTAAGAATACATTTATAATTCATACATTATCCCAAATATACAAATACACAAAAAAAAAAAAAAAAAAAAATACATTGAGCAGGTAATATTAGTATAAATTGTAAATTGATGATTGATGACTAAAATTTGACGGAAAAATTATTACTTTCCTTTTAAACAAAGTGAGAAAAATTAATAAAAAACAGATTAAGAACAACGAATGAACTCACAACAGGGTACATCTACCCGGCAATACTATTAGTTAGGGAAGCATTAGTAAGTTCGATTATCTCCCTTAGATAGAAAGATTAAAATATTGTTTTTAATAAACATTGTTAACATAAATAAGTAATACAAAAAATGTAAAACAAGAATAAAAAAAAAAATGGACAGTACAAAAGTATAACAAAAATATCGAACTCAAAAAGGGAAAGTCCATAAAAACTGTCAAAATCAAACGCTATCAATCAACCGAAAAAATGAAAAACAACTGCCATATTCATAACTTTTTACAGGCATTTTCAGAAGACAACTGAATTCGAGAAACTGAATACTTTAGATACTTTATAAGTATGTTTTACCGTCATTGATAATTTCAAAACAATTATTCTCAACAGTGTGTGTCCTTCTTTTATTTTGCTATAACAGTACCACCATAAAGTCCCAGAAGTGTAAAAAAGGAGACATTTATACTTTTTATTTTGTAAAAAACTGTGATTTATATATTATCACAACTTATCTAATAATAAATGGAAAGAATGTTATGTAAATGTAACAACAACTCTTAGTAGATAAAAACACCACAAAAGACATACATAAATAGATAGAGTAAATTATTGTTTTCAATAAACATTGTTAGCATAAATAAGTAATACAAAAAAAGTAAAATAAGAATTAACAAAAATATTGGACAGTATAATAGATCGACCACCAACAACCTACTCCTCGACAAGAAACAACATACTCATAAACAGAGACAATCACCAACTACCAACACACGGCGAAGATAGCCTGACGTCTCGTACAGATACAAAATGCGGTGGACAAAGAGTACATGGATATAAAATTGAAATGATCATAAGGAGATTTAAACACAGTACTATACATTGATAATTGTTATGTAGTAGCCATTTATTACATGCAGGTGTGTAACGGAAATGGGATGAATGAAGGGGAAATATAAGCCCGCTACACACTAAAGATTAACATACTGTAAGAGAAACATCTCAGATATGTAGATCGTAATTGAATTTCTGGAAATGATGGGGACGGGCATGCAAAGTTAAAAACATGTCCATTTACAAGTTCAACCTTTTTAAATGAAAATTAAGAATATTGTTTAGACATGTTAGAACACACATATTTTGGATCTAAGTACTGAAGTTTATCCTTATTGATAGAGAAGTTATAACTTGAGCGTATTTTGAAATGCAAAGCAAAAAAATAATCACAAAATGCATGGTACATTTATACAATAGATTATGGAAACATCAATGTAATGTCGTTCCCGTTTTATTTTGATAATGGTTTAGTGTTGTAATGATCTAGCATTGAAATATCGTCAAAGTTGTTCGATGTCCTACATGTAAGTGATCATTTGGGTTTCGTCGCTTCATATAAAATGTATGCGTCCATTTAATAAAAACAGTATACTATGTTGATAATATATATTGGAGTTTTTGTTATGATATCATTCTTCTTACTAGAGTAATAAAAATTACTATTTTGATCCATATCTACAGACATGCATTGATATAAAAGTTTTACAATCAGATACAAATGATTTAAATTTCATTCTAAAAAATTGACGAAATTGAGAATAGTGCAAATAAGCTCGAGCTGACCAATCAATTTACCTCAACATTCCACGTTTTTAAATGTGCAAATGAAGATATACTTAGCGCTGTCATGAGGCAAGTGACATTTAAAAAGAAAAGTTATGCATACGAATAGCTAATGCTGGCATTAAGAGTAATATCGACAATAGTGTACATGTACATATACAGAGAATACAAATGATATATTTGAAATAAAAGAGACTTTAGTAAAATTACATATCTGTGTATGACATAATGAATATAATACATTTTGTTATGGTATAGAACTATCATGGAATTTTTGAGTGTACATACATCTTTACTAATAGATTCGAAAGTTTGCATTATCTGTTTGATTTTTAGATCATATAGCATTTTCAGCAGTAAATCCCGTATTATCAACATAAAAGTTTGGATTATGTCCCCGCTGATAAGGAGGCGGATATCGATCTTTACCACTGAATTCATCCTTCTCTGAAAATTGATGAAGCTCATTTGGGTTATCAGGAATAGCATTTAAATATGGGTCGACATTGTCATGGGTTTTCTGATAATATTGACAGTATCTTCTTATTCCATATACAAGAAGAACGATTAATATTCCAGCAGCTATAGATCCACCAACTATTGCTGCCATTTTACTAGATTCGGTGATTGGTGGTGCTTTGGTTGTTGCTGTTGTTGTAGTCACCGGTGCTAAAAAAAATAAATGATATACAATGAAAATCTTTCGTTAAATATAATATATATCGAAATGCAAAATGCAATAAGGTAATTATTGCACAACCACATACATGTATAACCGTAGTTATTAGATTTCAATAATAAAATCGTATGCCTGAGATGCTACAACTTCATAGTATGAAACATGATTTATCGAAAAACTGGGAAGAAAACTGATACCCGAGAAAAGCCGTACTTTTTGACAAGCATAAACAGTTGTAACGCCTTCACAGTGAAACATATTTAAGAAAACGCATACATGAAGCCGCTGATTCGTTAATAAAACATTTTTTTTCTGAGTTGAGACATAACATATGAATTCAGTTGTGTTCTTAGAAATATAAATTGAATATTTTAAAATATCTAATAGAAATCTTTATTTGATTTCGATATGATGTCAAGTATATAAAAATACCATTGCATATACCGATGTAAAATCTACAATATCAGTTTGGAATTTTTGATGATCATTAACTTCGAGATCCCTGAAAAAAACCAAACAACATCCTATGAGAGAAACGCCTCTATGGACATCAGTTCGGGACACCTGACAGTAATCAGCAGCAAGAAGGGACAGCAATTCAACATGAAAATGAATTAATATAACTAGCATTAAACAGGCACATATGAAGTGGATATGAAAATCAAGTATAAACCGCTTAGACTCTTTATCAAAAAGACGGAATTTAAAAATGTTCAACTGTGTAACCAAATATTATCAGAAAAGATGATACATAAATAAAACCATATTTGATCAATTTAAGAAAATTATATTGTTAAATTGTTGTCCAATTGAGCTATGGTTAACTTGACTTATATGTGTTTTCGTCGACACTCTGAGTTGTGATTTTACCTCGAATTTAAGTTATTACAATATTTATTGTTGAAAAGCAGATAAAAATAACGGAAATTAAAATTGAGAATGGAAATGGGGAATGTGCCAAAGACACAACAACCATACCAAAGAGCATTAAACAGCCCAAGGCCACCAATGGGTCATCAACACAGCGAGAAAATCCCGCACCCGGAGGCGGGTTTAGCTGGCCTCTAAAAAAAAATGTGTATTAGTTCAGTGAAAATGGACGTCAAACTAAACTCCGAAACATATAAATAAGAACACAAACACACAGAAGTCAATATTGGTTTAGCTGTCAGATACTGCGAGTACGCTTGAGCTCAGATCTGTACTTAGTGTTTTTTTGTTGCTGGAATGTACAAGTACCCGGCCACGTCAACTCTGTGTTTTTGTTAGATGTATTTCTAATTGCATCCATCTGATGAGTTAAGTCTTTTTCAACTGATTTGTATAGTTCGTTCTTATGTTGTACTGTTATACCACTGTCCCAGATTAGGGAGATGGTTGGCATCCCGCTAACATGTTTAAATCCGCCACATTCTGTATGTATGTTCCTGTCCCAAGTCAGAAGCCTGTTTTTTAGTTGTCGTTTGTTGCTGTGTAACATGTTTGTTTTTCGTTCATTTTATTTTGTACATAAATTAGGCCGATAGTTTTCTCGTCTGATTTTTATTTATATTTGTCATTTCGGGGCCTTTTACAGCTGACTATGCGGTATGGGCTTTGCTCATTGTTGAAGATGATAGATATTAAGTTCTGTTTCATTTGGTCTCTTGTGAAGAATTGTCTCATTGGCAATCATACCACATCTTCTTTTTTATAATTAGTAAAAAAGTTTTGAAAAAAAACTTAGATAACCCCGACTACTGATTTTAGAGTATGTCATCTATCTATCTATGTATTTGTTAAAACATACCACAAGTATCTCTTTTTGTAGACTTTGTTTTACCGAATGTGCATTCCTCCTTTAGTCTACAACATGGTGTTTCTATCTGTTCACCAATGTCCGTGTACTCACACCAGCTACATTCTGACTCGCTAAAACAATCCCTAAAATAGCACACATACAATAAAAGATTCAGTACCATGGATCCCACTTAATTACTGAAAAGACCAGAATATAGGTACACATTGTAAATAAGACTTTGGCTTACTTCGATAACAATAGGCCATTTTAGTGCGATCGGTAGAGTGTCTGTATCTTTGATTAGTTTTTGGTATGTGAATGGGTTGTCTTTATATTGTAAAGTACGACATTTGAAAGCATGCATTATACAGTTATTATAATGTTTTTCTCTCATAAAGTACTGGATCTGTTGGGTTTTTCTTTGCCTCAGGATAATAGCCTTATTGAAGAACCCCGTATAATGTGAATATTCATACGTAGCGTCATTTAAGATATTAAAATGTCACAAGTTGGAACAGAGATTATATTAACACCAGGAAATAGGTAAAAAAACGTAAATCGTAACGTTTTTCATGTCGTTAGTCAGTAATAAAACATAAGTCAACCTACTGGTTTGTTGATTTGAGATGACATGTCGGAACATTGCATGCTTTCAGTCCATCTGTTACGTCAGGTTCACTAACTCCTGATGTATCAGGGAGTCTCGCACTGCATGGTAAAGTAGCAGATCTAAACGTACAAAAAATACATATATATATATATATATATTTCTGCGATTACAATCTTTAAAAAAGAATTGAGCAAATATGACATGAAAAACATCAGTAAATAGCTGCACCATGAAATCAATTCTAAAATAACCATTCAATAAAGGTAACATACTTTTTGCTAATCCTTCCTTGCGCATAGGTGATACATCGTATGTTCATGTGTATATCATGAAATGGAATATATCATAAGCATGATAAGTATTCATTGATTGTTATAACTTTATAAATCTTTCAAGGACATTGGTGTTGGTGAGAAATCTTATACAGTCAGTTTTATATGCAGATAAAACTATTCGGGTCTTTTATAACTTGACATGATGAATAACACTTGACTGTTTTTTATGTATCCATTTTGAATAAAATCGTTGTAATAGCGTTCCTTTCAGATTTTTTCGGTTTTCGCTGTATTCTAGTTGCTCTGTCTTCAGTTTTCTCTGTACTGTTTTGTAGACTATTGTTTTTTTTTCATGTGTTTTATTCGACGTTGTATTGGTTTCTCTTCAATTCACACAATGTTATTGTCATATTGCTAGCTTTCTCTTTATAACAAACTTCCATGACTTCAAAACACATTACACCATCAAGATTGAATAAGCGTTCGAAAAGTAAGTTACTGCGACTTATACTTACTCTGTATTATACTTGTTGGCACAAACATCATAGATGATGTAGCTATGACACAGACAGTTACAGTTGTTCTTACACTCTACAACATCTGGTGACTTCGAGCCGTCCTATGATTTTAAAGAAATAAAAAAGCTAAAATTACACCCACTTCCTACTATTAGAAAAATTATGTAGAATGTATCATTTCATTATAATATTGTATGCGTTCATAAACTTAGAATAGATAAACTAAAAATCAGAAAGACTGCTAGCATACTTGGATGACTATACACTTAAATATTCAGCTAAAACAACTTTAAACGACATTAATAGGTACGCCACATAAATGTGTATGAAATAGTTTTGATTATCTATATGTTTGCAATCTAAATGTTATTTTTCCATTAGCAGACTTATCAACGTATCTTATCATAACATAAAACTGCTTAAACAGAGAAATACGATGGCTACTTGACATTTATTTGTAAATGGCTATATGCATTATTTGTGTTTTAAGAAATCATATTTATTTCAATGTTAACTTACACAAGTACATGTTGAAGAAGCTGGAGTTGAACGGCTTCTAATAATGAACAGATTGGTATCAGTAATAGGTCGTATTTCAAATGTATTATCTGTGTCTGCGAAGTTTAGTCCACTAGATTTCCCGGAAGGAACCGTCACCTTTCGAAATGATAAATACAAAATTAAATTCAATTTGATGTTAACTATAATGTTGCAATATCTCCGTCAAAATACATTATAATTATCTTTCTTGAAGTTATACTTCACCGTAACTCACTCTTTATTAAAACAGAAATAATATGACGTAACGCGTAAACTTGGTATATGTGTGAGCTAATAAAGAAAACAAATGCACATAATATATTTTTATGTGAATAGAAAACCAAATATATTTCAAAAATGTTATTCAAACGTACCTCTATTTATCCTTGTAAATGTTTTTCATAAAGACCTTCATAAAGGTTCTTGGTTGTCGTTTGTTTGTTTCGGTTCATAAGTGTTTCTCGTTTTTTATATAGATTAGTCCGTTGGTTTTTCCGTTTGAATGGTTTTACACTAGTCATTTTTGGGGCCCTTAATAGCTTGCTGTTCGGTGTGAGCCAAGTCTCCGTGTTGAAGACCGTACTTTGACCTATGATGGTTTACTTTTACAAAGTGTGACTTGGATGGAGAGTTGTCTCATTGGCACCCATACCACATCTTCTTATATCTACTTGTATTTAGGTTTTGACCAAAACATACTCACTCTATAGGACCAAAGATCTTTATTCGTCGAATAATCTTGGCAGTCTTTTGAGTTTAACACGCCTTCTCTTTTCAGTATATTAGCAATACCAGGTTCCTGTAATTGGATGTATTCATTTTCTTTACTGCAGTACTGCAGCTATCGGATTTCCATTTCTTGTCATGATGTCAACGAGATTTAAACACATTACTTATCTTCTGTACATTCGGTAATCATTCCTTTTTCAAACGAAATATCATTTGGGAATCTATCGTTGTCTGTCTTAGCATTAGTTCTTAGAAGTAAATAAAGGCAACAGTAGTATACCGCTGTTTTCGAAACTCATAAATCGATAGAGATAAAACCAACCAAAAATAAAACGAAACGATACTCTTCATTAAGCATTAGTATGGTTAATGTTGATTAATCCTTACAGAGATCCTCGGCATAGTTACCCAAGCATCAAGCATAAATGTAACACAAATTGTATTGGTCGTGTTGTTTAATACACACCATTAATAGGTCAAGCATTCAACAATAGAAAAGACAACACATGGGAATGAAAATATAACTTTAAACATGTTAAATGGAATAGTACCAAACGCCACGATGTGGTTACATCTAATTCCTTGCAATCAAAATCCATCTAACATTAGCAAGCTGGAACATGGCAAAACCAGTTACGTTGTTCTATAGACAGATTTAATATTTAGAATATAGGACAGAGCTAAAATGATACTGGTGATTGGAGATACATAGACTCTGATATCACAAAATTTTGAATTGCAAACTTAGAACTTGTAAAGTTACATTCAAGACCTTACTTCCATGCTTCAACACAGAGAACATTGTATATTTAGTCTAAAAGGGTACAACATCATCAAAAAAAAATTAAATCATGAACAAATTTTAGATATTTCGGATAACTAATATCCTTCATCAGTAAGATTTTTAGACTTGTTATATATTATATTTTGTAGTGTAATGTATCATAATTTTATGATCCATCGCCCCGTAAGATTTATCGTTGGCTATTATTCAGTCATTTTATATATATATATAGGTAACGGACATAAAACTCATATGTATACATATATTTAAATTTTGTTAGTTTTTAACAATGTTCAGTAGGTATAGTACTATAATGGTAATCTAACCTCTACAGTTATATGTTTTGGTTCCTCAAATGCAGATTCTTCAGTAGTCTCTTTCAGTCGTGGGTGCATAACTACAAATCCACTGTCATCTACGATAATACATCTGTACCCACTTAAATAAAATAAACCGTAATTAGAGATTGTTCATCAACCCTAAAATTCATGTCACCAAAAAGAGAGTACAAATGCAGTAAAAGGAAACATTCATCAACAATAAGCATGTAAAATATAAACACACAGAAGGTGTTTTTTATTTATGGATTTCAGAAGTTTTTTGTTTTATTTCCACCAATGTGCTCAGTCGTTTTCTGGACTTTTTCTTAACGAGGAAATATAATTAGATATTACGTTTTTCAAGTTTTACCTGTTATCGCCACAAGATGGATAGACACTTGTTATGAACCAATTGAAGTATTCCAATGGAAAATCTGCACCAGCTGCAGCAGTTACTATATTAGATCTACAAACATAAATAAATATGTAAATAAAACAATATGTAATTAAAATAAATGTTACTTATTTGACAGTTAACATAATCATTCAAAGCAAAAACATCCCAGAATTTCAGTTCCATAAATAACTAACCAAACATCCATCTTAAAAACATTCAAAAAAGCATATAATTGATTAATATGTTTTTTTCTGATATTAGAGAAAAATACTATCTACATGTAGAAATGTAAACAACATATGATTTAAATAATAAATTTTGTAGGAAAAAACTGCAACATAGGTCAAACTTAAGAAATGCAGACAGATAGTATCAACAAGATGAAGTAATAAAATAGTTATAAGTTTGCTGTAAGTGGTTGGTATGATTTGTCAAACTCTTTGGTTCATGCAGTTTTTGTTATTTTATGTATCATTAGCTTACTTATGTTAAAGGTAGATACTAAAATTTAACAATGTGTAAAGATGTTAAGACAAAAGTCCCCAAACTCCATGCCTGATTTAATAACCAAATTGAATTTTGCTTCCCTCGATCTATAACACTTTTAAAGCTTTTTGTAAACCAGGTAAAACACAAAAGGCGCATTGGGGTTCCACTGGTCCAGTCTTCCCTGGCATTTTTGTATCATACTGCTGGAAAATATACCGCAATGCATAACAAGTGTTAACCCTGGGGAAGTTTATAAAGTAAGACCTCTATTTTTTCATTGAACACTATGTCGAGTACCATCAATGTATCAGAGCACACCCGACACCAGCCCAATGTTTTTGTGTGATTCGTGATGCTCAGTCTTTAGTTTTCTATGTAGTGTTAGAGAATTTGTTGGTATTATATCGTCCTTTGTATTTTGTAATGGTGCTGTCGTTTTCTTATTTACTTATGAGTTTTGAATGTACCCATGGTATTTTACGCTTTTTTTCAGTCTATTTTGCATTTTTGTTAGTTTTGAGTTTTGCACAACATTTACTTATAACAATATAAATTATAATCACCCTTTTTTATGTATAGTATGTACAAAGGAAAGAACTATTCCAGATCCCCAGGCGTCAACATATGGCGTTGTTAAAAACATGGTGTCTGGGTGTGCCATTGTCTGTCGCCACCTGGCAATGATATTCACGCCATATTATATTTGTATTCGATACACACATGAGAGCGTTTGTCAGATTGCGTGAATTTTTAATATTTATCAAGATATAGTGATTAATGTTAAACAATTGATTTCAATAATTTAGGAAGGGGTCTTTCAGCAATTACATCTTATTTTATGCTACAGCATAACAAATGAAGGATATCAAATTTTATGTAATGTCCTTTGTGTGAAAGTAATAATGCTAGAACTACAATATTAAATATCATGGTTTTTTTTTGGGAGACATTGAAGGACTATCTTGTAATTAATGGTTGACGTTTTGAAGTCATGGGTTAACGCTCTCAATTTATTTTGAAAACAATGTTGGACATTAAGAATTGTTCTACTTTTAAAAATAGCATTATCAATTTCTACTTGTATTAGAAACAAGCGACTTATTTTTAAAAAAAAACAAGCTATTTCATAATAAGGCTTTTCAAACAAAATGTATTAATAGCTAATAAAGTTTATAATCAATTTGAGAAATTCTAAATAATTCCATGTCTTGTCTTTAACGATGTGTGTTTGCAATTTGGCATACTGTCACAAATTCAATGCAATTATTAATTCAAGGTTATGTTGGGTCTGACTATTAACTAACAGCACAACAGCGTATGATAATGTTTACCAAGCTCGCTTCTCGTGGTCATATGATTTTAGTAACAAAACTCCGGGATATACCCTGATAAGTCCTGCCTTTGTTGCTATGTACCGCCATGCAACGTACGTCGCCGGATGGGTCTTCCAAAATTGTTCAGCTTTGTACGAAGCCCAAACAGATGCTCGTAATGTTGACTGTAAGAAATTGGTCCAAAAAAATTAAGTAAGATTCGAGTTATTTTTCAATAAATCATAAGCTAAGTTTCCATCTTATTTGTTTATTAATTCTGATCATGAAAATATGACTATCAGTAATGTACAAATAAACTCATCATAGATACAAGGATTGAAATTTTGTATTTGCGCCAGACGCGCGTTTCGTCTACAAAAGACTCCTCAGTGACGCTCGAATAAAAAAAAAGTTAAAAAAGCCAAATAAAGTACGAAGTTGAAGAGCATTGAGGACCAAAAATTTCTAAAAGTTTTGCCAAATACAGCTAAGGTAAAATTGAGAATGGAAATGGGGAATGTGTCAAAGAGACAACAACCCAACCATAGAGCAGACAGCAGTCGAAGGCCACCAATGGGTCTTCAATGCAGCGAGAAACTCCCGCATCCGGAGGCGTCCTTCAGCTGGCCCCTAAACAAATATGTATACTAGTTCAGTGATAATGGACGTCATACTAAACTCCAAATTATACACAAGAAACTAAAACTAAAAATGATACAAGACTAACAAAGGCCAAAGGCTCCTGACTTGGGACAGGCGCAATCATGCAGCGGGGTCAAACATGTTTTTTGAGATCTCAACCCTCCCCCTTTACCTCTAGCCAATGTAGAAAAAACAAACGCACAACAGTACGCACAGTAATACTAAGTTTAAGAGAAGTCCGAGTCCGATGTCAAAATAGGAAACAAAAGGTAATCTACTCCTGACGTAGAAAATATATTCCATCTGAATTTTAAAGACTTTTAGTATGGTTAGCACTTTTATTTGATTTTGTTTTCTGTAGTCGCAATGTGCTCTCGTTTTTAAAATGGCTTTGAGTTTATCCGTATTTTTTTTTTAATTTACCGTTTCGACTTTAATGCCTTATGGATGTTTTAGGTATTGATTTCTTTTAGTGTACAAGTCATTATGGCATACTTCTAGTATCAGCTGATATTATGTATAACATTTTAATCTATCTATATTCCTTCATTTTGTAAAAGATTCTTTGCAATATATATGATATATGTACTTGATCTATTATAATTTTAGATCTGATTAAAAATAAAACGTGTGCAATATTAATTGATATAGTTATATAAACCATCTCATTGCAAAATATTTTTGTAGGTAGGGTCTTGGCTCATATGGTTACAAGAACGCAATTATATGCTTACATTTTTTCCTGCAAGGTTTTTTTTTACCCCAGGATGGTACTCAAAATAGAATCTTGTAAGGCTTCTGATTGGATGATATAGGATTGGAATTACTTTTAATCGAAAGCTTATGCAATAAGTTTTGACAAATACAGAAAATCACATTCATATCTTGCAAAGTATAGAAAGTATATTCAATTTCTGCAAGTGGGAGCCATTAAAAATTTGCCATTTTCATTTAGCTAAAAAAATAGATGTTGTTTTTCAAATTCATTTGAAGTCAACTTTTGCCGGATGACAATACATTTTGTTTGGCTGTGATGCAATGCTGACATTTCTAGTAACAGGAACTGCTACCAATTTTTTTCTAGTTTTTCTAGTCTTCGAGAAATAAAATATGGAACACCACTTGTACCCTATTGAAAATGCATTACGAATAAATGGCTATAACTCACAATTAGACTACTTCGGATATGTTTTAATTATGCAGTAAAACCAAGTAGCTTGAAGTTCTTGAGCAAACATGCCAGACACAGTTTAAAAAAGTAAATGATGTTTTCTGACGTTCTGGTAACATCTATATACATATACGATATATTAGTTGACCGGATGATATTTGGTAGTACTACTGTTCTTTTTTTATTTTCGAAGACACAAACAGTAGCCCCATCTTACCCTTTCCTCTCCTTCTCCAGATGACAAATGAGTATATACCTAAGCTAGAACAAGTCCCAATAATATATTGGATGAATTAAGTAATGCTATTTTAAAAACATCATAAGCGACAATAGGAGGCTTGGCATATCCTAATGTGATGGCATCAATCGTCATAATATTAAGCCATGTATTGCATGTTAATTTCAAGAACACAAGACATTAAATTACAGAAATAAATAAAACCTGACAAAAATAATAATTAAGCTGTGCTTAAAAGAATAAGAGTTAATATATGTAAACTTAGTTTTGAACTTTTTTTCCAAATTTTGCGTAATATTTATTCGTAATAAATTAAGATTATTTAAAATCCATTTTTTTTGTGTTGCTTAGTCTTTAGTTTTCTATAAAGTGTTTTGTCTTTTCGTTGTCTATATTTTTTTTTGCCATGGCGTTTTCAGTTTTACTTGACTCTTGTGTTTCGAGCGGCTCCTTAGTCTCTTCTTTAATATAAGATATGGACATGAAATGTTGTATTTACGTGAAATCCGGGATTAGTAACGCTTGTTTTTGTTAGAAAATCCTTGTATTTACTAATATCCCTCGCAGTCTCGTCACGGTCCAAATATTGAAAAGGGTTCTCAAAGGCAGCTTGTGAAAACTTGACACAACTTCTATCTGAAATGGTAAATGAGTCAAAGGGAATTAATTACAAAAATATTATAAGATAAATAGAACATAGCATGCCATAGTTGTTACAATCATAAATCAAAATAATGAAATACCCGCCTTCGAAAAATAAATTAAAACTATTTCGAAAAATGAAATAAAAATATACTTTTTTTTAACAATACATAGTAATACATGATACATCAGTTAATACATCAAGAGATATCCACATTTTGCCACAATGCCTGTACTAAGTCGAGAATATGACATTTGTTTTCTATTCGTTTCGTTAGTTGATATACTTTAAGGTTTTAATTTTTCATGTTTTATGGATTTCCCCAATTTTTAATTAACTTTGGAGTTCGGTATTTTTGCTAATGCTTTTTTCATATTCTTTTGAAACATTTGCTTGTACAAATACGTGGAATCCCAGAGGGTCCTTAATAAGCATCGTTTTTTTCAATCGTTTATTACTAGAGCTATTTTTATTGATGTTTGTAATGCAAATTGTGCATTCTCAGTCTGCGCCAATGAATCTGTTGAAGGGTAAGCATCCAAATTGCCAAAAAATATCCGATGTGTTATATTTGTGTTCCAGGATATGTGTTTCGTGTACATGAGTTTTTATTGCATGCTGGATAATTATTGTGTCGTTGAAACTGAGCTGGTACCTACCCAGTGTCACCCTCCTCTTGTAGAATTTACAATTAGAAAATGAATCAGTAAGCAAACTACGATCGTGGTTCATAAAAACGTTGTCAAAATCTGCGTCACTGAGTGGAAACTGAGATTCTGTCATTTCGGCATAAGATTCGTTCACAAGAACAACGCATACGGAAAAATTGCTGTTTGGTATCTGAAATTGAATCATGCGAACATTAAGCATTGCCAGATGTGGAATGATTGCCAATGAAACTACTATTTACAAGAGACTAAATAAAATGTGTAATAAACAGTTTTTCAACGTACGGTATTCAATATTGAGAAAAACTCTTACTGTAAAGGCTTAAAATGTACGCAAAACGAAGAAATATTAATATCATTTCAAATGAACAAAACAATGGCCTTATTGATATTAAAACAATAAGCACACATAAGACAACACCCAACGACAACCAATGTATTACAAAATCCTGACATTTATATTTACATAATTAAACATTCGGAGTAAAAACGATGACGTATTATTACCACTTCAACACGAATACATCGTGTGTGTCGATTTTTTTTCAAACCTAGTTATCTAACTTATATTTTCATGTGATGCGCGATTGTTTAAACGTTTGTATTACTTATGTATTGTACTTCATCTTTTTTTTCTAATAATTTGCATCTGTGGTCTTCCTTACAAAGTAGTGGCATGCTCGACACTGTACAATCAATTAATTACAAACCGGTATCTAGAGTGAAATAACACTACTTAATATAGACAAATATTATACTATACGTACTGGTCCCCAAAAGAAATGTGCTTGGCGACTGATATCACTACTTCCGTCATTTACCAGTGTCCCACGTGGTTTGGTGAAAAATTTTGCAAAAGATTTAGATCCAGTTCCTCCTCTGAAAAACAAAAATCTGTTGTATAACCACTAAATATCCTTTCTATGTGATGTATTGATGAGTATCAAACAACATGTTCTACCTTACTACGATGTCCGTTGTACGAGCAAAATTTATCTATGTGTCGAACGTTCAAAAGATTGATCAGACTGAAAAATATTCCAATCATGTCGACCTTACTTGTAAGATTGTTGTTTATGACGCGTCAAGAGAGAAACATTTTATGCCAATCAGGGTAAAAAAAGATGAAACAACAAAAAAATAAATAGATTTTTGCAAAATTGGTCTACCGGTAAATTCAGGGTGCAACAGGAAATGGCTATGTAATAAGATTAAAAATAGAAATGTTTAAACAGCAGGCAATCTAATAAGAGAATAGCATTTTTCCCTACATGAGGCAGTTTTCGACTTGACTTGGCTACGTATTTATGCATTCCGCGCATATCAGTTTGAATAATAGACGGGGAGGTCCAGTTAGGCATATGACTTCTCCACAGGCTACCAAAGGAGATTCAATCACATAATCTTTAATCAACCTTACCTAATCGTTAACGAAGATAAAAATGAATGCACACATTGTTAAGCAAACCCCCGCGCCGTGTAGCTTATAGTATCGGCAAAATGAGACGTAGGTGTCGTGAAAGATAAGGAAAGCACCCACACTCATCACTAAGTTGGTGACTAAATGTTAGGCCGTAATCTTCTGTAGTACTTTATAATAGTGTGACGACAACATTAAAATTCATTCGTCACAATGAACATTTTAAAATAATAGCAAACCGTAAATCGGCGTCTGACAAATCCGAAAATACTAAATCGCTTAAACCTACCACCTTCATGCTTCTGATTAATTATGATGTCATTCTGTCTATTAAAATTGAGAATGGAAATGGGGAATTGAGTAGTACCCGAGAAAGTGTTGACGGAAATACGTATTTGATGAACGGCCGCACAAGGTGGAATGAATATAGCACCACTTATAGAGTGAAATATAATTATACAACAATTCTACCTTTTCATCGATTCAATGACTGATTTTGAATTTTCTTCTCTTTCTAATACACTAATGTCTAATAAAACAGGATCTTCGGTAGATTTGACAAAAGCTGCATTTGGTAACAAAGGATGCATAAGTGCTCTCCCAGTACCATCTATCAGGAATGCGTAGGTGAATTCGTCCTCGGAGAAGTACTCTATTTCTGTCAATAGTTTACTTATTTTCACATCTGTGCACATAACTCCATGAAAACCAGTCGAAACATGAACACGGCGACATAATGATGTGATCAATCCTGCAGAAAATAAAAGTCTGATCAACTTATTTTTTTCAACAATTTCGTTTCTTTTTCTTTACAGATGCAAATGTTTTACTTGAGATCCTTTGGTTGCTCTCTTTAATTCACGTTATCACGCTTCCCTTTTATTCGTAGAGAAAAATGTTTAAAAAAAACACTTAATAGAAACGCTAATTATTTCGACAATAAACACGAAAAAGATACCAATATAACAAACGGAACAAAATTGAATTCCTCTTCTTTAAGTAGTACAATGTATTTGACGATCCTATTACTAAAATAAGAAACGAAATTACTATGTTTCGTTTCTTGAGTGCCCCCAATAACATATATATTGAAGTGCCTTTTTTATTTCAATATACATGTACCTACCCACTCCTGAGAAGGGATCTACATATGGTACAGTGAATGTGGATTCGCCTGTTGGACTTCCTGTAGACAAATGCTCATAAAACGTAGCCAATCTAGTTGAAAGATATTGCTGGTTGGTTTGGTCAAAATATTCAAAATGTCCAATCTAAAAAATGCAATTGATACCAATAACGATATGTTGTTGAATGATGAAGGTCATTTTAACGTTGAATTGTTTTTTTTTTTTCATTTTATCATTCTCATGGACTTAATCTAATAACAAAATTGCACTGCTGTATATATTTCAACTTTGCAACACATTCCATAACAATACCATCAAATGCATATTTTATTCAGGAATACTTAAAGTATAAAAAAATATTAAAAAAATAAAGGAACAAAATACAGTTCTACCTTAAATATGTTTTCCTCCCATTTGCACTTAAAAGAGAAGCAACAAATACCAAAGGGGTATTCAAACTCATTAGTAGAAAACAAACCAACAACGAAATGGCAAAAAGAAAAGAAAAATAAACAAAAGACAAACAACAGTACACAAAACATAACATAGAGCACTAAAGACTAAGCAACACGAACCCCACTAAAATCTGGTGGTGATATCAGGTGCTCCAAAAGGGTAGGCAGATCCTGCTCAACACCCGGCACCCGTCGTGTTGCTTATGTAAGTACAAACCCGGTGATAAACATCGTAAAACATTAAATAATTTGTAGATTCTACTTTATAATTGAAAAGTGTGATATGCTTGAACTAACGTCCTACATATACAACATCTGTTTCAGGAATTTTCCGAAACGTTTGTAAATTTAAATTTAAATACCTACTTGTTTAGGTCCAACAGATGGATTGTATAGATCCTGATTTGCCATACTTTGTAACTGTACCTTTGCACTTTCGTCTATTAAAGTAAAACGGTGAATCATTCAATTGTATATATATCCGTTTATTTGGCAATCGCCAATGGCAGTCAGCAGAGTTTAAGAACATCCGTTGTTCGACCTGTTAGTCAAATGCGTTTTGTTAAAATATACTTTGTCACTTTTTTGGTCTTTTGGAAAATGTTGTTTGTGCTGTATTTAGACCCCTCTACCAAGAAATTTGTTTTGCATGCACACGTATAAAAATTGCGGTTTTTATTCAACGCAATCATAGGTTTGAACGTTGTTTTCAATTTAGACTTATATCTATTAAACTGTATACTTTATCCAAGGGGAAAAAAACAAAAGAACAAACAAAAAATATCAGATATACTTTCTAAACTAGACAAAGTCATCGTATTAACAAACCATATACGTTAATGTATCTTACAATAATATGTGAATTTGAATTATCTTTTCAATCACACTACACTATGAGAATTAAAGTTCAAAAAGCGGCAGCAGTGTTTCACATTAATTGTTTTAATTGAAAACAAGGTCGTTGTCTGGACATATCTGTTTTCTGTGAATCGATTTTCTTCACGTCCAATTGGAAATATGTCGTGCATATTCAGAGAAGGGTTACAGTTTAGCTATGCAACGTGTTACGGTCAGCATTAAATGTGAAAATTCGAGTAACAAATCGAGTGTGTTGGGTGCATATCTTGTTTTCCAAAATTCCCTTTTAAAAGTTGGGTCATGGAAATGAATTTAACGCCAGTTTCAATCGAACGTGGCTGCGTATCTATACATCCCGTGCAACCAAAACGGATAATTTGAGCTGCCCAATATATGTATATAGGCAATTACCTCGTTACGAAGTAAGTCTGAAATACGATATTTATATGCGATTAATATCAACCTTAAAAACACAATGATAATCGTAAACTGATGAATGTCAAGTGAAAATGATTCATGTATATTTAGAGTGTGAACCAATTATGAATCTCGTTGTGATGATTATATGAAAGAACTTTTTTTTATTAAAACATCGCAAAATAAAGGACCTGGATACAGCTTCGGCTTTTACGTTTTCCTTTTGTTTTGATGTGGTAGCGTAAACATGTCCTTTGGTTTTGTATTAATTAGTTCCTGTTTTATTTACCTATAGACAATCTTATCTTTTTAGCGTGTTTATGCAAATAAACTCATCATAGATACCAGGATTGAAATTTTGTATTTGCGCCAGACGCGCGTTTCGTTTACAAAAGACTCATCACTGACGCTCGAATAAAAAAAAAAGATAAAAAGGCCAAATAAAGTACGAAGTTGAAGAGCATTGAGGACCAAAAATTCCTAAAAGTTTTTCCAAATACAGCTAAGGTAATATGTATGTTTACCTACCAAAGCGTAATCTACGCTTCCGTTTTAACCACACGGTTCTACAATCATCACATAACATGTGCGTGACATTTTTGTACGTAGGGAGGACACAAATGTATTAATAAAGATTAACATTTAATTTACCTTGTCCAATCAGATAAGTAAATATTGTAATTTTGTTGTTATATTTTGAATTCTCATCGCTGATTACTTGAACCGGGTTTTTCCCAGATGAGGACATTCCATCACTGATGAATAGAATGATTTTTTCTGAAAAGATTAATTTATGCAATTGTGAAATTGTTTTGTTGGTCGGTGCTATGTTGTATTTATCTGAACGGGAGGGTCATCGCCCATTATGTGGTACACAATGTATGATATTGGCGGTTTACTAATGCTGAACCATACTCTATGTAAACAAAATATGTACCATTGTTAATTACAATGTGTTTTTCTGATGTAATTTCTATTTAAGGCTGCCGTATTTAACACATCTCTGAATTCACCTCAAAATTTTGACGGTTTATTTTGCTTTATATTCACATATCGATGTTTCCCTTGTAACACAAATGAAACTAATTTATTATAAAACTTTTTTTATGAAAGGCGCCACACCAGACATTTTTTTGTAATGTATACCATTTGAAATTAACAAGTTTCAGAAAGCCGAGTTAAGATTAGAACTGAATTAACGGGACCTAACTATATTATAAACACCACAAACATTTATCAAAATCTGAGAAATTTTAATTTGCAATAACTTTTAAGTTAACTGTTTAAAGCTTGCTACATTTCCAGCTTCATAAATTGTTGCAATAAAGGCACAAGGATGTTTTTCTGTATGTGTCTGTTTTTATATCTATTCATAGCAACTGAGGTATAAAATTCTTTTTTGAAGAGTTGGATTACAAAAATATATAATTAAATGAGAAACAATAACAAAGCTCAAGAAAAGTAAATAAAAATATATACATGTACAAATCGAACCAATCTTTCACACATTAATTTTTTACTTATGCACTGGGATACATAACTACTGTTTATACCATTCGCTTACAGTCGATAAACATCTGTCCAGTCTATGTTCAGGCTTTTTTTAGTAGTTTATAATTATCAATTATGGACTTTAGTCGAGGTTAAAACGTTATATATGGACCTGTTCATATTATATCGACCGAGGACGAGTCCGAGTGACAATATTAATCTAACAGGTCCATATATAAAGTTTTAACTGAGTGAAAGTCCTTAATCTATATATTACATATGAAAATAGTGTATTATGGAAATGAACCTCAATGTTCTTTCTGTGTATTTTATGTTGTATTTTCAATATTTCTAATATTGACCGTCAATATTTATATATTAGATGAATCTTAGCGTCCAAATACTTTAAAATTGGCTATAAACTAGTTTTCAGTAACTGTGGGCACTTTGTTTCGGTGCTTGTTGTCTATTGTTTTGATGTTATTTTTTTTTTGTACCTGAGGTACCAATCTTTTGAGTAAAGTGATACTGATTTTTATAGTTATTTCTAATGTTGTCCTGTTACACCACTGTCCCAGGATAGAGGAGGGTTAAGCCTTCAAACATGTTTAACCCTAAAACATTCTTTATGTGCTTGTCCAAAGTCAGTAGCCTGTAGTTCAGTGGTTGTCGTTCGTTTATGTCTGTTTTATTTGTTTTTGGTAAATTGTTTTGTTATAAATTAGGCTGTTAGTTTTCTTTTTTTAATTGTTTCATATTTTACATGTCGGGGCCTTTTACAGCCGACTACACGATATGCAGTTTTCTCATTGTTGAAGGCCTATAATTGCTTAAATCCACTTCATTAGAACTTTGGTGGACAGCTGTCACATTGGCAATTATACCACATATCCCTATAATACTTTTATATTCAGGTAATGGAATACACCTTATCGTAACAACCAATGAAAAAAGAATGCTACATATGTACATCACATGTTGTGTTTACTTCTATAAAACAGCAACATACTTAAATGTCTGAAAAGCCACTTATTGGATTTACTACAAACCAAATTTCAGAACAGTAACGAATTACATCACTAAAATGTATGAAACGAAATGTAAACTCTTGGCATGAGGTAGCCTTTTTAGTTTCAGTTGATGTTTAGATCAAAGAAGCCGTTTAAGACTAAAATGTATTTACTAGTCCAAGCAAACAAACAATAAACTAACTTACCTCTATTTTCAACTTGAACATCTTCATCGGTTGAATTATAGTAATTGAATGCAGAAAAAAGAGCATTTGCAAAGTTTGATTCAAAATCACCTGACTCTATTGAAAACACATACTGCTTAAGTTTGTCCGTATTTTCTTTTGTTGCAAATGCGAGTTGGTTTTCATAACAGGAATGGTAGTTATCTCCTGTCGGGGTATATGCATTTTTATCAAATCGAACAATCCCTACCTGAAAAATAAAAGTCCTATTAATTTTGCTTTATTATGTATATATAGTTATTACCGGGTTTGTACTAAAATGAGCAACAAGACGGGTGCCACATGTGGCGCAGGAGCTGCATACCCTTCCGGAGCACCTGAGATCACCCCCTAGTTTTTGGTGCGGTTTGTGTTGCTTAGTCTTTAGTTTTAAATGTTGTGTTTTGTGTACTGTTGTTTGTCTGATTGTCTTTTTCTTTTCTAACCATGGTGTTGTCATTTCATTTTCGACGTATGCGTTTGGATGTCCCTTTTGTATCTTTCGCCTCTCTCTTATTAAATGTTGTTCAAGATATTAATATAGCTATGTGCTCATGTTCCCTGTCAGTATTTAATGTATCCCCTGAAAGAGATTAAAGCAAATTCGACAGAGACCTAAGTATTTTACTGGAAAGACAGTCATACAGACGGATTTTATCATTTCAACAGGAGTATTTTCTTATATATATTTAATCTTTTAGATTTAATATTAAATACATTAATTGCAAACATGAGTTTTGGATGACCATGGTTCGGTCTCCGGTCAGTTAAAAACCAAAGGCAATAACATTGATATTTGTTTTTTCTCCTCCATTTAGCATTAAAGGGTAAGAACAATTGATGGTTGGCCCAGAGGCTAGGGTGACATTTCATCCTGAATACGGTTACTTTGTATATTCAAAGCTCTTTATACGTTTATCGTCAGGAATATGCATGTAATATTTGCCGCTAAAAGTAAAACATCAATCTACATGTATGCTCTAATTAGGTGCAACGAGCAAAAATAAAATGACTGGTTTACAATAAATTTTATGTACAACCTATCACTGACCTCTTAGGCCAACATTTTGAAAATACACAAAAAAGACCTACCATTATCTGCTGGCTTTCTTAGTTATCGTTCCATATAGATGAGACATACGGCACTGACAGGGAAGAAGAGCCCAGCTATCATGTGAAGCCCGAAAAAAAACCAATATGTTATACCGGAGCGTCCTGATTTTAACATTAAATAGCAATAAATACCATTCTTATCTTCGTTTTTTTTCACATGGTATATGGGATGATATAATACCTCGTCAGAGTTACCAATTAAATTGCATGATTCGCGGAGATGTTTTACTCCAGTATTATATATTTACTTATCGTACCTCGGGTAAATTAGTGAAGTTATGATTATGTTTAACGCCGTCACGTGGTGACCCCAATGGATTCGTATGGGGTCAGTAGATTTCATATTGGGTTCATGACGTCACGTCTACTATTAATGGTGAAATCATCTTTTAATGTTATTGTATTTCATTGTTTATTTTTACACAAAACTTTGCAATCGATATGTTCCAATTGTCATCATCACAATCGCGTCTTCTCTTTCCGATTGTGACATCTACGACTGAGACTTATCACCTAATTTTTAATTAGCATGAATAACATGTGTTGCTAAGTGTTTAATTTTCTATATAATTTTCTTTTGTGGAATTGTTCGTAATTTTGCGTTTTTCGTCAAACGTTGCCAGTTTCTCCTCAACTTGTGAGTTTTGAATGTCCCCTTGGTATCTTCCGCCTAATTTTTGTACGATAAAATGACCTACACTTCAATTAGCCGTTTAAAATCTAAAGGACTATGGGTGATTTCATTGTTCGAACACCAAAATGAAAATAACGTCACGTCATTGGTTGAATTTCCATTGATTCGGACCTTTTTATCCAATCACAACGTTTTGGTGAACACTTTTTGAAAATATTTCCCAGGATGCATTAGATTAAATTAGTCATAATGTTTGTAAAATAAAATAACCTACCCTATCATTTGGTTTGAGTGTTTGTAATACATTGTTAGCTGCTTCTTTGGCTATTACAATTTTGGTTTTGTCTATTACTCCAGACGGCTGTCTCATAGAAGAACTTGTATCAATCACTAAAACAACATCCTTATCTGTCGGCGAAGCAGCAGCTGCGTATGAAGATCTAACGAAGAAAAAGAAAATAAAGATGAATAGTGATTGATGTGGAAAACCTAATATTGATTGATTTTGTTGGTTGCTAAGCATCCAGTTGCAAATGTTTCATGCATCTTGAGGACGAGAAGAAATTAACAATAATACAATAGTTAGGTTCTGTAATAGATGTCTTCCGGGATGATGGTCGGAGAAATTTGGCCTGGAAACAGGCCACCAACGGACCCCTTAAGAAGTTGTTACAAAGGTTATTAACGCGCAGACAGCGTGGCAGTCTTTGTATAGGATACATCGTATATAACGCCCCCATTCTGACCGGACGTGGCTGCGCATGACCAAGCGGACGCCTAACTTTGCAAGGATTTAACTGCTGGTCTGACGAAGACCAAAGTTACCATATTTCTTATCCCCAGTCACCCTTGGAGTGAAACCGTAAGCAGAAAAGAACGTTCATTTAAAGTAAACCGACAAATTGAGAATATACAACAAGAACTCAACTGCCTTTGGGATAGTAGTATTACTAAGTTACTAGCACTGGGTAGATACCGCTGCTGATGTTTTATTATTGTGATCATATAGCACTTCGAGTTATTAGGTATTTATATGTACCCTTTTCTTTTAATTTTTTTTTTATGTTTGAGTGTTCCTAATGAAGGTTAGTCCAGAAAATGGCTTTGGACGCACAATATTTACATAGTGTTATTTTCGTTGCCTTCAGCATGCCGCTCGAACATGATTAATGTTTCGGTCATCATTACTGTCTCTTGGCAGTCGATTTTGCTATTTATACGTAAATATAATGATTGTATATCGACGTCTAGTAAGAGGGTTCCATGCGTAAAACGTACAAAATATTGAATGATAGCAAAATGAATCTCATGATCTCCAGACAAAATTAGGGTGTGCAGGGAAGGCATTTTTTAAATAACACGGTTTGACAGATTTGGAAGTTTATGATAAGTCCTGCCGGTGTTAAGATCTGCTTACCCTTCCGGAGCACATGAACCCCCCCCCCCCCCCCCCTCGGTTTTTGGTGGGGTTCGTGTTGCTCAGTCTTTAGTTTCCTATATTCAATTTGTGTATTCGTTTTTTCCCATGGCATTGTCAGTTTGTTATCGACTTCTGAGTTTGAATATCTCTTTTGTACCTTTCCACTCTTTTTGATCATTAATATTGATATGTTAACAATACTTTGATATTACGTCTGAAAACACATACAGACACCTACTACTGTATGCTTACACAAACATACACAGACACACATCTACCGAGACACCTACAATTGTAAGCTTACACAAATGTATACATGCACATGCACAGACAAACTTATTTTTTACCTTCGTCTTAGTTGTTTAGGAAGTAAACATTTTCTTATTTAAATCTAGGATCAAAATTCTGACAATAGTGCTATTTTATTAGCACACAAATGCACACATACACTTGTTCTTTAAGGCTTGTCTTGTGAAGGAAATACAAATATTCTTACTTAAATCTCGGATCAAAATTTTGACAATTGTGCCATTTTGTGGCTGGGTAAATGACAGACACGCCTTCTGTTGTGCTGTAGTGCTGCCATAAAACGTTCTTGTTGTACTCGTAGTTGGTTTTCATTGTTGCACCGATTTGTTCTGTCGGGTATTTTAAATTGGCTACAGCTATAGGTGATGTCGTAACACATGCTTTATTCAGATCAACCTAAAATAATATTAGAAAACAAATTAATTAGAAAATATAAAATAAAACTCAACAACTAACTCCGGGTGTACTGTTACACCACTGACCCAGGTAAGGGGAGGGTTCAACCCCGCCATATTCTGTCCATAGTCCGTAGCCTGTAATTTAGTGGTTTACGTTTGTGACTGTGTAACATATTTTTTTTTTCGTTCATTATTTTGTACATAAATTAGGTCGTTAGTTTTCTCGTTTAAATTGTTTTACATTTGTCATTTCGGGGCCTTTTATAGCTGACTCTGCTGTATGGGCTTTGCTCATTGTTGAAACCCATACGGTAACCTATAGTTGTTAATTTCTGTGTCAATTTGTCTCTTGTGGAGAGTTGTCTCATTGACAATCATACCACATCTTCTTATTCGTATATCAACAAAAATAACAGACTAAAAATGTTGTACACCAGGCGCGTGTCGTCTTCAAAAGACTCATCACTGACGCTCGAATTTGAAAAAAAAATTAACAGGTGAAATATAGTACGAGGTTAAAGAGCATTTGGGGCCAAACATTTTGAAAGGTTTTGCCAATACAGATAAAAGTAATCTATTCCTGTAATATACATATTTTATATTAACTTTATTTAACTTTGTTGTTAATGCCTTTAGTGGTTAATGGCATCCATAATACTTTGACTTCATTTTAGTTTACATTTTTAAATGAATAAATGCAACACCTTAACGTGAATCAGTGTAAATTTATCGGAGAGGATCATGCTTACAAGATGCAAGTTTTGAGTATATGAGACAGCAACCCAATGACAACAACCGAAGACATTCAGAGGTCAACCTACAGTCTTCAACAATAGACAGTTGGTTATAAAATAAGTCAAGCTCCAAATCGTCCTGTTTAACCTTATTATTGGTAATAACCATTTATATTAAATGTTATCAATATTTTAAAAAATCAAAATATATTTTTTCATATTTTAATCGCGGACATAGTAGCTTGTTTATTTTTTCAAATTGCTGATAACATGTACGATATTTTACATCCATATAACTTTTTGCAACAGAAAGGAGAGTCAATATGGATTATAAACATGTGTATGCATACAATGATCCTGTTTTATCTCGTCAAGAACGAATAATAAAAAAAAATCACTTACTTTTGATTGGAACTCTGGTAAGTAGGTCAAGGCACTGTCCTGTAAGTCGCAGCATCGATCAAAACTTGTTGACGTAGAATCTGGGTTACTTGAATGCACAGTTACAATTTTAGAATTCACATCGTTTATGACTAAATTCAAGTCATTCAGTGACGTGTCTAAACTTAATTGAATCTACATGTATATAAAAAACGATAAATGAAACAAAAAGAATTAAAAATGCATTTTATAGGATACAGTGCATATTGACAAGTTGTTAGTAGATGCGGAAAAGGACTTCAAAGTATAATCATTTTGATTATGATTACTAGAAGACTAGTATTTTTTCTGAGCAGGGTTCCTTGTTCCGTTTTGGTATTGTACAAGGTTGAGTGCTCTTGAATCATTTGTGCCATTGGTTGTTTGGATTTACAAATTTAGAACCATGAATTGATGACAAACGAATTTTAAAGTTCAAGTAATGTTCATCAAATAAGCATATGTATCGCAAGCCTGGATAGATATAACTAACACTGTTTACAGTTTTTTAAAGTCATATATAACTAGTTTATTGCAATTATAATTTTATCGGTATTATTGAACCAATACATGCATACATACTAAACTAAGTCATGTATGCACGTTTCTTTTACATTTTAACGCATCTATGAAGTATTGTGGACAAAACATATTTCATTCAGTGATTGTTGATCGGGAGCTAATCAGCGTTCGAGTTTGTTGCCGAAGTTTACCGGATCGTGACATTGACAAGCAAACAAAACAGGGCACGTGGAGCACGTGAACAATAAGTGAATTGATAGAGCCCTATCACATGTAATTTTTTTATATTTTCCATGCGTTCCCATTTGTTAATTAATCTTCATTGACATTTGTTTAATGATTTGGTGTATTTAATTTGTTCTTTAAAATCAGTTATTACTTTTTAACTTCAAGTGCACGTTTGTGTACATTCTTTAATCACGATTTTTCCTTCGCATTTGCGTTGTGCGGTGGTCGAAGTTTTAACGAGAGGTCTCGTAGTAAAGGTCACTGCACAAGGAAAATATCGACGAATTTAGGTACGCGAGGACAATAATTCAATAGCAGTACATTTATAAAGATTTTACTTTTACAAGGAAGTCCACGTACACTTGTTTTATAGTAAATCTTAGTCATTCAAGAATATACAATATGTATATGATGTATAAGGTGCATGCAGTGCGTGTTTGTTATATTTGTCATTACAAAAGGACTCCCTTCATTACACAATTGTGTTAAATGGATGGCCTACTTGCTAAAACCTTACAGCTTTAAATATAATGCAATTTTAACCGGAATCTTTCATATCTACGTCTGTAAATAATACCTTTATGAGCTGTTTTACATTGCACTGCATTACCTTTGTAGATAATATGAATATTAGTAACCCAACCTCAAGGGTTGACTGGGGTATAGGCATATGGGCATCCCTTGACTCTCGTTGGCTGTTAAAAGTTGCTTATGTCCATTTAGGCTGTGCAGGATAGACATATACGCAGTCACGTCCGGTCGGAAAAGACACGCTTAATCCAATTCCTCGAGTAAGGCGAGTGCCATGTATGTAGTCTACACGTGACAAATCCTTGCATCAACGCTTTAATTGGTCAGTAGATAGCCTTTTGCAAGCAAAATGCCTATCCCTATCCAGCAGACTCTCAATTTCCCGTTCCTTATCCCGGTCAACCAACTTTTTAACACTTACCTACTGTTAAAGTATTTTATAAAATCGTTCTATTCTTACACATAAGTGAAATATTTGCCACAGGACATTAAACAAACAACCAATCTTACCCTTTCTAATAACTGGTTCCCTGTATCCGACTTAATCTCATAGGGAAAATTATTGAACTGTTCCTGAAATAAACATACTCAAATTATGATTCTTTGTTAGGGCATTTTTACTTTCTGATATTCGAGCGTCACTGATTGGTCTTGTTTTTTTACAAATAGCCCGTCTGGTACTTTTATCTTTGATGACTTTTTGTACAGAGTTTAATAATATTGTGATGATTATGACAAAAATAATCGTATCATGTGACTAACTATTTTTTGTATATTCCAACGTCAATAAGATTGTATTTCAAATGATTTTTGTCAGCGTGAGTAGTTTATAACTCTTATTCAAAAATATGTAGATGTGTCACGGTACGGCCTTCAACCATGAGAAAAACCCATACAACATACACGTAGCAAGTTATGAAAGGCCCCGAAATCCTATGACTGCATGAGTATCACGTCTCATATTTGTATTTGACTAGATTGAATAGTTATTATTCCTTTAGAAATTGATGTAGAAAATGCTGCAGAAAATATCTTGGAATGCTGATACTGCCTTTAAAGAGGACCTCAATTCTGTATTTTTTTATTATTGAAGCCATTTTGTTTAGTTTTTATATTTTTACCCATTATTCTTTATTGTTTATAGTTTAACACTTTATTATTCTCTCTTTTTTTGTGGGCTGTTATTTTTTCTATTCTTTATGTTCTTCCATTTTTTCTGCACTATACCTCCACGTTTCTCTATCATATGAACTCCATCCAGACCCTCTTAAAAAATATCAAATACATTGAAGTAATTTATGATAATATATTTTGTTGATTTTTAATTAAATTTGGTTTTTTTTTTTTTCATATACATTGTTGTATATTGAAATTCTTATTCTTGTTTGTGCCGAATGTATAACTGAATATAGAAAACATTGCTGTCAACCCTCTTTCGATTTGTATGATATAGTATAGAATTCAGCAATGGAAATGCATTGTTTTACATATTATTATGTCGGGAACTTTCATAGCTAACTGTACGGCATTACTCATTGTTGAATGTCCGCGTCATTTAGCTTCGGTAAAAGGTTGTTCCATTGGTATTCATAGCACATATTCTTATTTTATATAGTTTGTAAACATTATGAATGATAATAATCGTAGCAAGAGACATTCTAGTAGGTTTTACAAAAATGCATGTATCCAATTGAGATGTGAACTATTTACGTTGATATACGAATAAGATTAATTTAAAATGTATACTATATCTGGCTTTAAGACCAACAACATCTTTGTATTTAACAACAATGCATCTTTAATAATGTTTAAATGTTTTTTTGGCAGCATTGTGCAAATTTAAATAAATAATGTTTGGAGATAAAAAAAAAAACAAAAACAAAAAAACTAAGGCTCCACACATTTTTTGTATTAAAAAAATGAATAGTTTTTGATGATATCATGGGTCATCAATATTTTCTAACTTCATACTTTATTTGGCTCGTTTCAGCAATTTGATTCGAGTGTCATTGATCAGTCTTTTCTGGACGAAACGCGCGTCTGGCGTACAAAGTGATCACCTGACATAATGCCAAATGAAAATTAACATTCTACAAACAAATGCGTGAAACAGTTGTGCACAAACAATCGAAAACAAAATATCTTTATATTTCCTAAAATTCCGATGATTATGATAAGAAATAGATTAACCGAGGTTTAATTTTATCAGGCAAAGTTGACCTTAGATAAATTTGGCCTCTCTTTTTTATTCCTATTGGTCATATAGGTCCTCAAGTTTAAAAATACACAAAAAGTCGTCATAGATAGATATACGAAGATGTGGTATGAGTGCCAATGAGACAACTCTCCATCCAAGTCAAAATTAATAAAAGTAAACCATTATAGGTCAAAGTACGGTCTTCAACACGGAGCCTTGGCTCACACCGAACAGCAAGCTACATGTATAAAGGGCCCAAAAAATTACTAGTGTAAAACCATTCAAACGGGAAAACCAACGGTCTAATCTATTATATAAAAAACGAGAAACGAGAAACACTTATGAACCACATCAACAAACGACAACTACTGAACATCAGATTCTTGACTTAGGACAGGTGCAAACAATTGCAGCTGGTTTAAACGTTTTAATTGTACCAAACCTTCACCCTTATCTGAAACAATAGTGTAACATTACAACATAAAAAGATATATATGTATATTTTTTACTTCGGCGTTCCCGATAAAACTAAATACAGGAAAGCGCTTCCGACATACAAAATATATAAAGTGATATTGTATTTGCTTTTATTTAATAAATACGTTCGTGTTAACCTAGCTATTCGTAACATTGCTTATATGTGTGGGCATATGGTTTTTAATTTTCATTTTAAACTCATAATTTGATTTTATAGATATGTAAATCTGATGTTAAAATAAACATAAACAAGATACTCTGCAGACACTATTAATAATTGATTTTTAAAGTCAATAAAAAAAATTATCCCTCAAGAAAAGTAACTTCACTTTGTAAAACAACTCTGGCCCTCATATTTTTCCCGCCTTTTTTGTTACTTCTTTAAGATTCACACACTTTAATATTATAATCCAACGTAAACTGACACTAACATATTAACTTCGTTAATTAAAGCAACTTTACAAAAAAAAAATATCTCTAATTACATATTTGATATACATATTAGTGAATTGAGTTTTTTAAAAAATGTAACTTTTTGACGGTTTTTTAATTTATTTGTTGTAAATTCAGTAAACTTAACGGGATTAAAAAAAATTAAAACTGTATGCAAGAGTTTCATTGTCTATATATATGACCTGCATAAAAAAGATATATTGCTTTATCTTTTTAAGTTCCTTTGCTAACTTATTGTCATATAAGCCCATTACCTGCATATAATTGACTTCAATATCTTCTTTATCTTTCTAAGTTTTTGTGTTAACTTTTTGTCATGTACATGTACTGTACATTAATTTACCTGCATATAATTTACGCCAATATCTTCCTTTATCTTTATAAGATCCTGCGCTAACTTATTGCCATCAATGTACATTGCCTGCATATAATTGGCGCCAATACATGTATGTTCCTTTATCTTAATTGTAAGTTCCTGTGCCATCTTATTGGCATGTATGTACATTACCTACACACACTTAACGCCACTAGCTTCCATTATCTTCTAAGTTCCTGTGCTGACGTATTGTTATCCATGTACATTACCGGCATATAATTGACAAAGATATCTTCTGTAATTCTTAAAAGTTCCCGTGTTTATGCAATGCTAACTTATTATGTATAACATTACCTTAGTTTATATAAATGACACCGATATCTACTTTAATTTTATTAAGTTATTGTGCTATCTTGTGCAATACATGTATATTACCTGCATATAATTGATACCAATATCTTCCTTAATCTTTCTGAGTTCCTGTGCCAACTTATTGCCATCTATGTTGTCTTCAGCATTTACCCGAGAATATATTCCAATTATACACGTCAGAACAACCAAAGCATTCATTTTTATATTTTTTTTTATCTGTTGGCTGTTTATGTGAAAAACTTAAAACCAGTCATAATGGTGCGAGGCTGAGTGTTGTTAAGTTTTCGTCAACATAATATTATGTTCATTGGAGTTTCTGCAATACAACGAAATGAATATATTATGTATCTGCATCAGGTTTATATAAAAAAGAAGACGTGGTATCATTGCCAATGAGACAACTATCCGCAAGAGACCAAATGACATAGAAGTTAACAACTATATGTCACCATACGGCCTTCAACAATGAGCAAAGCCCATACCGCATAAGCGTCTATTCAAGGCCCCGAAATGACAAATGTAAAACAATTCAAACGAGAAAACTTACGGACTAATTTATGTACAATATAATGAACGAAATAAAATATGTAACACAGCAACAAACGACAACCACTGAATTGCAGGCTCCTGACTTTGGACAGGCACATAATTATAATACACTACAGAATGTGGAGGGGTTATAAAGTTATTTAAAGAACATCGACTGGGATAAACGGTGGTTTTTAAGATTCATACTTTAGATTTGAGATTTCGTGTATGATTTTTTTTCTATTTGGAGATAATATTAATTATCCTGCAAGCAAAAAACGCAAATTTGTGAATTATAGATAATTTTGTAATGATTTTACTACAGATTTATTTTAAAAGGATTTTTCAACGCTATCAATCAAATTAATTTTTCATAATTTGACACTATAAGGTTTGGGGAAAATAAGGATTCAGAATAATTTTTTTTGTCATCTGCTTGACCACAATACTGTTTCTTTTATCAAATTGGGGATCGGAATATTTTTTTAGGAAAAAACCATAACCCCCCTTGAAGTTAAATGGTCGATCCCTTACCCTTTGTAAAATTTAAAAACAAACATACTTACAGTTAAATGAAGATACTTTGAATTGACCAAGACAAAAAGTATAATATTACAAATATATAGAATATCCTCTTTCATATACACGTGAAGCATTCGGTTGAACATACATGTATGGCAGTTAAAGTGTCCGTTTCTACTTTTCCCTCAAAGTAGAAATTGTACGTACATTGCACAATACATTTTTATCACCATTGTGAAACTTTTAAAGTATTTAACTGAAATGAGTTTCACAGAATTGTCAAAGTCAAAACTTACATCTACAAATTTATAAAATATCTCCTCGCATATTTAAATGTGCATCATTCAATTTATTTTTTGCAGATTATTTGTTGGTTTCTGTTTTTCCATCAAAAGTAGAAATTGTACATACAGTTCATATTCACTTTTGTAAAATTTCCAAAATATTTTAAATTACTTACGTTTTACGTGCATTGAATTTCCAAAGACGAAATCATAATCTAACGAATGTATCACTTAGACCGTTTCATATACACGAGGATCTGGATGGGGTTCACAAAATAAGGAATAATTGGCAAAAAGTGCAGAAAAAATAATATAGACAAATGTGCAAAAATTATAAAACATCGAGAATTTGTGTTGGTGCTAAAATAAAAAGAATAGAGGATAATAGGTAAAACGAATAAAGAATAGAGAAAAATTGTTTCAAAAAGCCAAAGAGTAAAAAAAGGAAGGACCCCATCCTGACCCTCATAATTATAATGTATCAACGCTATTTAAAGATGACAAATAGTGAACTGAATTTTCTATCATAATTAAATAGTATATAAGGAAGTCTAACCGTATTAAAAGGAATACCCAACCGTATTAAAAAGAGCTTAAATATAATAATGAAACGTTCTTCATATTAAGTCCTTTGTGAATGCGCAACACTAATACTGCCTATTTTAAAATTAAATGATAGAAATTTTCAATCTAAAATTCAATTTGAACCATCTACGTGTTGATATACACCTTCTATACGTAAACAAATCTATAGTGCAACCTTGATGTAAATATTAAAACAAATTATGAATGTCTACCTTTCGTGACAACACTAGCTATGAAACGTTCAATGCATTTGAAATTGACTTCTATTTTTATTATTTTAACAATCCTATTGCTAATTCCGACCGATTTGTACTGATACGAAATTAGGAATGGGTACAGTTTAGGTACTCCTAATTACAGAATCTTGTGTCTTTTGGAGATCGGATCAAACCCATTTTCTACGATTCAGTATGAACTCAAAATAAATTTATAGAACTTACTTTTAATTAGAATAAAAGATATAAACAAAATAAACACAGATTGGACATTTTCGTCTGTTAGGGTGAAAAAACCGTCAAAAAGGTGCAATTTGAGTATATTCACGTTATCAGTATACTAACGATCAATCTTAGTCATAAGTTTTTTTGTGAAACCGACTCCTTGATAATACACTTTCTTTCTGTCATTTGTTATTTATAAGGACAAATTCGGAAAATACCAATCGGCAATCACAAAAATAGAAACAAACAAAGCACAACAATCAACAAATTGCTAATATGTAACTGAAGGTTATACAATACGAACCTCACTCAAACGGGTGTGAACTTTGAAGCTTCAGAAGGTTGAACAATTCCTTATCCACTAGTACAATATAGTAACAGTCATATGTTTAATGAAGTGGAAATCTGATGAGCAATATTTGGCGTCATATCAAAGTGCATTGGTGTATGTCTTACTTTCCATTGTATTTCTATCAGTTCCTGGTCAGGATAAATTAGGAAGTGATGAAACTTATGTTTATTTGCATTTTAAATTCTGGAGTGGTTCCCCACAGCTTTTTTTTTTTTTTTTTATAAAATTGAAATATAATTAGTTGTACACTTCGCAGTTACAGATACATGTAATATCTATTAACCTTCATTATTGTTGTATTCTACTACGTGGGTGTTTATGACCTCAACTACCCGGCCCTGAGGGTCACCTACGGTCGGTTAATTTTTGCATACTACTTATTACTTCCACTATGATTACGATATTGACTTCCAATTAGGCTCATACACGAACGGTAAAAAATATTTGCATGGGAGGAGAACTTAACAATCCGGTAAATTGTGTCTTCTCGTACAACGAAACGTTTATATATTCATGTTACATCAACTAGTCATCATGATAAACATGTAATATTTGCCACTGGAAGTTCAAACGCAAATCATTATCATTATAATTATATAGTACAGTTAGTACTTATTTTTATTTTTAAAACCTCTGTTCGTCTGTCTGTACATCCTCAGCGAAAATCTTCAAAAATGGCAAGACAAATATTGATAAAACATAACATAGTTTTGGAACTTTATCTGACCATGTGCATACAGAAATATAGTCCTTGTCCAAAATGTTAAGGTACAGAAAATCAAATTTCATATATGATAGGTTGTTTTTTTATGGAGGGGGTATATCCTTACGTGAGTTCCCTCACAGTTGCATTTTCTAATAATATTATTGGGTATAAGTTTTTGAATTATATTATTAACATCATGTTAAAAAGACACAAGGTTTTAAACTTTTCAAAGTATCACACATATTCTTTTAAGATAAATAATATTTGAACGCACACTGTATACATATTGTAAACAACAGGGGTACATGTATTTACAAATAAGGAAGTCAGAGTATATGCAAATTGTAGACATTAAAAAAAAACGGGCAACTTTAGCAAATAGACATGTGAAAATTATTTGTTTGTAAACAAGGAGTCTCATTACAGGGGAAATTTGTAACATATTGTTATTAAACTTCAACTAAATCAACCTAACAAGGACGAATCAAATATATTTAAAATACGCAGTAAACAATATAATGACTGAATTTATTTATGGGTGTAACACGGATATATACTTCGCTTTTACTTTAAAGTACATAAAATATAACAAAGGAATCTGTAAATATATCTTAAAAGTATAGTGTATTGTGGTGATGGAGAGAAAATGTCATTGAAATTCATAAGAATAACATGTTTGAAACCTTTCTTTACACCTGAAGTTAGAATAGTTATCTCTCTAACTTAAGTCGAGTCATCTATGTATTAGTGATAATCCAACAATCACATTGCTTTCTCAGTAATTACAAAGCCATCTTAAGGATGTTCGCTACTCTCGTTTTTGACTTTTTGTCAGATATTCGGAATCCTCTAGTTTTATCCATGTTAGTGTCAATAAAAATTTTGCCCGCTAACCCCTATTTTTTTTCATAATCTTATTACATATAGTGTAAATAGCCATATTTGAAAAAGCTATAAAATCCATTTATTTTTTCATAGTTTTTTTAAAGAAAAAGGGTGCCAATGTTAAATATATGAAAAGTCTAGAGAGAATTATTTCCCGCCAAATTTTCAATGGCTTATATCTCGAAAACAAGCACACGGACCCTTAATTTTTTTCTGCTTTTTTAGTTTCTTTATTTATATACTATCAATTTATAACAGTCTTTAAAAAAGCTTGTTATTTTGAAACAGAATAGCAAACATTCTTAAATGGACATCATGTCTATCTGATTAAGTTGATTATGGTATTTTTTTTCTTCAATATTTTTTTTTTGCAACTTTGGTACCTTCTCTGTCTTGCTGCATGTAAGACTGGAATATCGGTTGACCATATTAGACCTAGCTATTTCATTACCAGAAACCATGGTGAGTATTGGTTTTAAATGCGCAATTGCAGTTGATGGTTGAAGACCAAAACATCATGGGAATCAATGCACAAAAAAATAGTCATCAACGAAATAAAAAAAAATAAGAGTAAAGTAACACAGCTTTAGTTGCTATTTTCTATTTTGAAAGATGCTTGACGATGCATTGTTTCGGCTTAAATAGCGAATACATATACACTGAAAGTTGATCAATTTAGTAATAACTTAGCTGTAGACAAGATGAATTATGTTTAGCAATGTACTATGGTATGAAGCCTTATCCATTACTTATCGGAATTGAACACGAGGATCTAAATGAGTTGAATACTTGATTAATTAGCTGATTAATTAACAATATTCCATCTACTCTCTTGAGGTTTAAAGAAATTGAAGCCCGAAGTAATTCTTACAGCTCCTGTTTCACTACAAAAAATATGGAATACTGTCAACCTGAATAAAGTATATGGTGCAGAGTTACAAAACGTACGTTATCTTATCTATGCTTATATGAAACCCAGTATACATGGTATAATAACATATATATTGTAAAGCCACTATCGATCCAATGATAGATTTCATGTGCCATAGATGATTAAAAGAGGGACGAAAGATACCAGAGGGACAGTCAAACTCATAGATCGAAAACAAACTGACAACGCCATGGCCAAAAATAAAAAGACAAACAGACAAATAATAGTACAGATGACACATCATAGAAACTAAAGACTAAGCAACACGAACCCCGACAAAAACTGGGGGTGATCTCAGGCGCTCCGGAAGGGTAAGCAGATTCTGCTCCACATGTGGCACCCGTCGTGTTGCTTACGTTATTACAAATCCGGTAAATAGTCTAATTCGGTAGGTCACATTCGTGAAAAGGGAAGGGTATTGTATTAAAATGTTCTGTTCTTTGTGTTATGTTTTGTTTTATTATTGCTTTTCTCTTTTGTGTCACTGTCTGACTGTCATAAACATTCAATGTAAATGTGTTTGAGAACACATAAAATTGTGCAATTGAAGAAAAAATTTCTATATAAAACAAATGATAACAATTTTGACTGATTTAGTCTAAGTAATGTTCTATCTTGATATAAATATGTACACACAATTTTGGGTGGAGTCAGTTTCTCTTATTACACTATTTTCACAAGTCATGTCATCAATGACATTTCACTATATTTATCGGTCGCAGTATATTTAGGTTAACAACAATGTAATAAGGTCATAGCAATGTTTGTTTTCTCCTTGTCGTAGAAGTTTCCCACTCCCCAACTTTGCAGTCTTCTGCACTGAAATCCAAGCTTATGATGCATATACAAATGAGCACTTCTAAGTAACCTGCTAAACAACACAAAGAAAAAAAATAATTGCACTTTCTCTCTCTGGTCTCATTAGACTATTTACAGTGTTCACCAGACTGTCAACACTGAGTTTGCATTCGAACTACGCTCGTGGCAAGTTTGGTTTGTCTCCAATTTTGATTGACTATCCTTGTCGTGTATTTCTCATCATTATGATTTTAGTTTTTTTTTTTTAAACTGACCTCATTGCTAATTCAGATAAAACAATTAATGTATTGAGTATTTCCTTTTGTCGTACAATAACTTAATGTATAATGTTCGCAGCATCACACGATTTATAGTCTCATGTGGAGTTTGTTATTGTAACAGAAATAACTATTATATATACATATCTTGAAATGTGTTATATTGATTACATAAACGGTTAAATGTTTGCATCATCCAATTTTAGGGAATTTAGCTTAATCATCAATAAAATGGAAAATGGAAAAGGAGAATTTGTCAAAGAGACACCGACCTGACCAAAGAGAAGAAAACAGTCGAAGGCCACCAATGGGTCTTCAACACAGCGAGAAAATCCAGCACCCGGGGGGCGGGCTTAAGCTGGCCCCTTTAAAATGTAAACTAGTTCAGCGAAAATGGACGTGACACTAAACTCCGAAATAATTAAATAAACCCAAAAGACACAAAAGACTGACAAAGGCCAAAGGTTCCTGACTTTGGACAGGCGCAAAAACTGCGGCGTGCTTAAACATGTGTTGTGAGATCTCAACCTTTCCCTATACCTCTAGCCAATGTGGAATTAAAACAACTCACAGCCATACGCACAGTAAATTTTCACAGCTTCATCATAATAAAATTAGATGTTCATGACAAATGTGGATCACAAGAAATAATAAGAAAACTTAATCTGTTTACTAAGTCATTAGTATGGACAAATGTTCCAAAATTCATCTCCATATCTCCGGGCATTAAAATAAGTCCGGGTTATTTTTCTTTACGTCAAAGGATGGGTAATTATTCCCAAAAGTTGGTTAATTATATCAGAATATCAATAAGTTATAAATGCAATACTTCAATATCAAAAAACTGCTCGGACTATCGCCAAAAAAAAAAAAAAAAAAAAAAAAATTTATATAAATTTTATTTTTCCTTGTGTTCAAATTTCATTAAAATCAGTAAAGCATATTTCATGTCTCACAAAACGTGTAGCAGATTTTACCTACAATTATTGTTAATTTATAGTGAATATGTCTGAACTATTTCCAACTGGACTAAGAACAAACAATCAACCAATACATGAACAGTTGGTGAGCTAACGGATGAACGGTAAACCATAGCAGGACTCATTGATTAACGGGCGTATATTTATGTTATCTGTGAGATTGTATTCTATTAATCAAGCTTCGAATTTAATGAATAGCATGAATAATTTGACAAAATTCCCAACATGCACATTATATAAGTATAAAATTGAAAACATCCTTTCGTTATAAAATAACCGTAACACGACTTAAAATATTTTGGACTAGATTCGTATGAGCGGTAAAAAAACACATATTCAAATCTTTAAATATCAAGTGACATTAACACTTCAATGTTACATATTAAAATCTTTGTTGGAAATCGTAAAGGTATATGCATACAAATGAGTTTGAGAAAACATTACTTTAATACCTCAAAAACCTCGATTAATATATTTATACATGAAGATATATAAAGTTGCCATTTTTTT